CCGCCTCCCCCCCGCCCCTCGACCACCTCCCCCCTTTTGCAATACCATTTTCAGCCTCCGTAGAGGTGGAAGAGGAGGATCCGAGCAATAGAAACGTCCGGATGGAAACCTGGGGCAGAGGAGGAACAATAGGGGGAGGTCAGACGCCCTGCTCAGGAACAGTGAGACGAGGAGATCGACGGCTTGGGGGGTTGGAGTAGCAGGAGAAGGAGGGGGTTGCAATGGCCCGATGGGAGCGTGGAGTAGGTGGTGGAACAGGAGATAATGGATCACGAGGGGCAAGGGGAGGAGGAAGTGGGGCGGGGGAACGGAGGGGGAGGGCCAGGATGTAGGATCAGGAGGAGGAGAGGGTTGGCACTCGATTCGCATGGTCAAGAGGGGGATGCGGCGACAGAGGAAGAGGGCGAAGGTCACCAGGATAGGGTGAAGCATGGACAGTACGGTTTCCCGGTTTCAAGCGGCTCGTGGAAGGAGAGGGGGGGGGAAGGAGAATGCCAAAGTAGACAGGAGGATGTATGTTCGGGACTCAATGTGTCAACAAGGGGATGGGCAACGCGGCTGGAGAGGGGGGCGGATCAGGATGGGTGATCGAGAGGATGGGAAGGTCACAATGCTAGTCAATCAGGGTGAAGATGTAGCGACAGATGAGGTCCAGGAGAAAGAATGCCAAGGCGAGAGGGTGAGTACTGCCGGTCCCGGGAAGAAGAGTTCGAAAGGCAGGAAGGGGAGCGCAGCGGAGAAAGCGGGGAGCGCTCGGTAAGGAACGAGAGAGACCGGGACGATGACGAAAGTTGCAAATCATAAGAAGGATAGGATAGACGGGCATCTTCAGGTGATGGGTGAGAGCGATGAGAGAGAGAGAGAGAGAGAGAGAGAGAGAGAGAGAGAGAGAGAGAGAGAGAGGGTGAGTGCCGTTCGTCACGCCGCGCGGGCCAACCTATTCCTCTTTTGCGCCGAGCCTGAAGGAAACTCTCCACCTCTTCACGCACACCATCGCTGAGAGAGAGAGAGAGAGAGAGAGAGAGAGAGAGAGAGAGAGAGAGAGAGAGAGAGAGAGAGAGGGTGAGTGCAGTTCGTCACGCGGCGCGGGCCAACCTATTCCTCTTTTGCGCCGAGCCTGAAGGAAACTCTCCACCTCTTCACGCACATCATCGCTGAGAGAGAGAGAGAGAGAGAGAGAGAGAGAGAGAGAGAGAGAGAGAGAGAGAGAGAGAGAGAGAGAGAGAGAGAAGAAGAAGAGGCCAAATCGGGTATTGAGGAGTAGGAGCTCGAGAATGATCCCACGGGGGGAGAGAAAGGGGTGGAGAAAGAGAGGGAGAGAGACGGGAGGAAGATAGAGAGAGAGGGAATTGGGGGTTGGGGGGTGGGGGTGGGAGGGGGAAGGAGTGCAGGAATCGGAAACATGGGATCGAACGGGCGGTGCAGTGGAGAAGAAAGAAGGCAAAGCACTGTGATGGATTCTCACGATTGCCACGTGTAGGCAGAAGAGAAGTGGACGGCAGGATATTGCGCTGCGATGCGGCAAGAAGGCGAACGAGGTGGTTGAGCTGGAAGACTCGGAGTGAGAGATAGCAGTCAGCCGAACAAGGAGGAGGAGATCGGGGATGTTCTCAATTGAATCGAGAGAGGTGTATTAGGGTTTTGGAGCGGCTTTGAACGTGTTGGCTTTTTTTTTTTTTTCCCGGACCATGGAGTTGCTGAAGCACCATCGTGGACACTTTTCAATCCCGGAGGCTGCTGGAGGTCGTTGGCTTCAAAAATTATTGCGATCGAACAGCGGAGGTTGGCAGCCGCATTTTCCTTTCATGTTTGTTGTGGCGCCTCCAAGCTTCTGGTAGCCCCTTACTCGTCCAACCTGTGGCGCGTCGTGTATACCACCAGGTTTTGTTGTTGGCGGCGTTGGGGACAGTGGTGTTTGTTTCCTAATGTGAAGGCAGACACTTCTGAAAAGTGGAACAAGGAGAGCATGGTCAACTCGTTGCACAAAAACAGTCATTGTGACTTGGTCAACTGGCACTTGCATGTTTCTCTTTTATGTTACATCTAAAAAGGACTCCCTATCTAAAAAGGTCAACTCCTGTATTGGTTTTGTCAACGCCTCCCTATCCCGTTTCTCTTGGTTCGAAAAAGGGGCGTCTTGCACGGCTTTGTGACTTGGTCAACCAACCAAAAGAGGATGAACAAACAAGAGCAGGAGGAGGAGGAGGAGGAGGAGGAGGAGGAGGAGGAGGAGGAGGAGGAGGAGAAGGCAGAAGCAATAGCAGCAACAGCAGTAATATGAGCAATAGCAGCAGTTGCAGGAGCAGAAGAGGAGGAGGAGGAGGAAGAAGAAGAAGAAGAAGAAGAAGAAGAAGAAGAAGAAGAAGAAGAGGAAGACGAAGAAGACGAAGAAGACGAAGAAGAGTAGAAGAATTTGAATTTAGAATTGGACAACCTAGTTGATGTGGGTGAATGGTATGCACATGTAACTGTGAGGCAACAGCTCCTGAGTTTGTATCCTGACGGAATAAGATACATATAGTAATGTTAGGTGCTACACCTTAAGCAACACCTTGAAAAAAAAAAAAAAAAAGGAAGAAGAGAGAATTAGAGTACGAATTAGACTTAAAATTAGAGTATAATAATTAAATAGTCGAATTTGAATGAGAAGAACTAGAACAACGAAGAAGAAGAAGAGGAAGAGGAAGAGGAAGAGGAAGAGGAAGAAGTAGAAAATTGTAGGCATTACTGCACCCCTTCATTAACTGAACTGAGTGGACTGATTTTTACCTACTGTGACAGTCATTCTGTGTCGTATTACAGGATGAGCCACACACGCTGATTCCGTCCGGAACTGGAACAGTCGTCGATCACTGGTGGACAATGCAAGGTTGATATCCGATATTGTTCCTCTTGGGCTTCGATCGGACGGTGTGAATAGCAGGGAGTGGCTCTGGATTTTGCACTGTCGGTTGAAGATCTAGGTTGTTGAAGATCAGGATCATTTAGAGGGAGTAGCCGGGCAAGTGCGCATGACGCAACAGCTCAGCTACAGCTACAGCTACAGCAAGGGCAACAGCAACAGCAGCTATATACCGTTTGGACAGTCTGGCTGAAGCTGGGTATGGAGGGGAAATGGGCATATGATCGTGCATCCTCTGAGACTGGAGCGTTGATGAGTCAGCATCTGTTATCGGAAAGGGAGAATCTGAGTCAGCATCTGTTGTGTCAAACACATAGGTGTAATGGTCCTTGCCACAAAGGCTGCTGTCAGCCCCCTTCTTCTGGGTTTGTCACTGCAAGATCGACAGCAACAGGAGCCGGAATAACTGCCACAGACTCTGAGCGACGGTCCTCTGGAGTAGTACTTGGATGCAGCAACCATTTCGTCTCCAGGGGTGACCCAGATAGTCACCTCCATACACCCAGGGTAAGAGCTCATCTTTCACGACATGATTTCCTTCATTTGCCAGTGCACTACTGACTTCACCCGAATAGAATGCCTGGTCGTTATGGTTGCATTGGGACGGAAAGCTGTCCCAAATACGGCTATAATGACCGGGCTTTCTATTCGGCTGAAGATGGTAGTTAGCGAGAATAAGTGAGTGAAACCACCTGCCTCATGCGCAGCCACATTTTAATCCTAAACCCTAAACCCTAAACTTCCAACCCTGAACCCTAAACCCTAAACCAGAATCCCTAAACCCTAAATTTCAAACCCTGAACCCTAAAATGCAAACCCTAAACCCTAAAATTCAAACCCTGAACCCTAAAATTCAAACCGTAAACCATAAAATTCAAACCCTGAACCCTAAAATTCAAACCCTAAACCCTAAATCCCAAACCTTAAGCATTAAACCGCCAGTACATGGCCCCAGGCATCTTCTATAGTTTCATGGCTCAGCCGCTCAGTCCTAAAATTTCGGAGGCTCGGGGCTACCGGACCACAATGGCTGGCAGCGTTAGCCTAAAAGGAAAAAAATTGCACCGCTGGCGCTTCAGCAAAGCTTGGTGTGCAGTGTGAGTCTGCCAGGCTTGGGTGTACACTGTCAGGTGGTTTAAACCTTAAACCCTAAACCCTGAACCACAAACCATAAAGCCAAGCGGGAACGACGGCAATATAATAATCCGAAACGTAAAAAACAACCACATGGTGCCAAAATCTGCAACAGTCTTCACTCTTAGCAAGTACATCCAATCAACGTGATAACAACCTGATAGTAATTCTAACAAGAAACAGTCTGAGATGCCCAATTTTCTCCTGAAGGTAGGCACTGACTGCCAGACAGGACACATGCTGTCCTTTCACAACAGACTTCCAGTTTGCAAGTGTGCTGATTAGAGAGAATAAGCACCCGGGACTTGATCCCATGACCTGTAGTGTGTTTGTGGTGTTTGACTGTTTTTGAGCCTCATTGGGCTTGAACCTTGAACCTGTTGCTAGTAGTCTCTACATCGTAGTCTGAGGTCTTTCAGCCTCGTTGTTTTGTCCTTTTCTGCCCTTCTGGAAACTGGTAGGCCCGTAGGTCTTTCTTTTGTGTGTCCTAGCCTTGGGTCCCCTTAGTCTAGGTTTCCATCTAGATGCATGTAGGTAGATCTTGACTGTTTGGCCGTAGATGTTTGCTGTTTGGACGGTCAGATAGGTCTGTAGGTGGCTGATTGCTTGCAAGCAATAACGGGGGACCTTCCTCGTCATGGAATTCCTGATCGACTTTGTAGTGACAATGGGAATAGTAAAGTGATTGTAATCTGAAATTTGTCAGACACCAGTGAATCCTCCTCGGACTGCATCAAGATTGAGCTATATGCTCTTCGGCCTTCTTCTCTGCACAGCTACAGACGCTGTTACGCTTGGTTGCAGGTATCATTGTATCTGCCACAATCATAATGCCAGGTTTTCTCAATCTGTGTGTGCAGAGGGCTGCCCCTGCTTTCCTGACTGTGTGCGCACTCTGCATCCGGACATCATATGTCCATCTTGCTGCCATGGATGATATAATGAATGCATGGTCTTCTGTGATGCCTGTTCTTCCTTGCTGTTAGCCTCCAACCGACATTCCATTTTCCAGGAGCGTTTGGTGGGGATGCTTAGTGCCAGTTGTCGTGACAACTGTTGCGCTGAGAATGCTCAGCGGTAGGTCTTCCAGGTCATCGCCCACCTTGTCCCTATCGTTCATGTCCTCTCTATTGCCGAGGACGGATTGACTCTTGAATCTTCTTTTATTCTTTCCTATGCTCTCATATCTCCGTTCCACATTCCCTACCTTCCCTTTGTCTTCCTTCCATCTTTCCTCTGTTTTTTGAAAGGATTCACGCTGCAGACACCCTGTCCCGCCGATGCGTCACAAGTCCAGGGCCATTTCTGTAGGGTAGGCTGTAGGGCCTAGAGGCCGAAACTTCATAGGTCAGTAGGCGTTGGTACCGAAAAGGTCTTAGGTCGGTAGAAGTCCCCCGGTTCCCGACAAGAAAAGTCCAGAAGCGTCCAGTCCAGTCCCCAAGTCCAATTTTGCAGCATGCCGCAGGAAAGTCCGGAAGCTGCCGGACCGACAAAATGTGTGCAGCAGACAGGCCACAGCCGGCCGGTACTGGTTCGAAGCAGGCCAAGTCCAGCGGAGCCAAGTCCTACATATAGCTGCTACAGTGCAGAGGTTCATCACTTGTTCAGTTGCGAGATGCGGAAGCACTGCTGCTGCTTGTGCGTTAAGGCAACTTGGGCACTGTGCGCCTGAAGAAGAAGAGGGCACTTGAGAGCTACTCCATTGCTAGGCTAGGCGTAGAGCAGGAGGACGGCGGCCATAGCCGCTGAGGTGTGAGCAACCTGAGTGGGTGTATCCAGGGTGACGAATCATGGTAGAGGGGGAGAGAGAGACGAGAGAGAGAGAGTGAGGCAGAGCGAGTCAAGTCAGCGAGACAGAGAAGGGAGAAGCCATAGCTGCTATCTGGTCGAGACCTGTTGCGTCTGTGTGTGCGGCAGAGCCGCTGGAGACCAACATTCTTGTATATTGATAATAATATTGGAGATGACATCTTCAAGTGTTGATTGTATCTCAATTTGGCTTCTCACGTGTGAACTCTCATGTGAATGTTCGTTGATGTATGCGAAGTTGAACTTGACGAGTACTTGGCTCATTTCATTTTTATGCTTTTTAATAGTTTTATCCCCTCCGCTTTCACCCTGCCTCTTTTGCAAGTGGACCGTTATGGCACGCTGGAATGTAAACAGCTCGCACTCAACTACTTTAACGACGCAAGCCGTGTATCTGAGAGAGGCTTGTACTCGGGAGGCATCATAAAGAAACCCTGAAAAAACTTCAAAAAAGCCAAAAGAAAGAGAGAAAACGAAGAACTGCACAGGAAGAGGCAAAGGAACGGTTGCAGTGTACTTCATGCTGTCTGCTAAACCTTGAAAAAGTCATAGTAAAGAAAGAAAACAAAGAACTGGAAAGGAAAAGGCTATTTTCTTTTTTCGTTTGGCAAAGTGCGCTCTTTTAGAAATGTGACACTATGTATCCATTCCATCATCGGTTGGATGCTCAACGGCAGACATTTGACTGGAGAAGAAAAAAAGTGTCGACCTTCCGTATCTTTGTCGTCACTTCTGGAAACGAGGCATGGAGTGCGGCCAGCGTGGTTTTTTTTTTTTTTTTTTTGCCTCTTCCCATTCTAACGTCGTGATCACATTTCACGTTGGAACATTTTTTTCATTTTACCCTTTCCCGTTCTAACTTTGTAATCACATTTCATCTTGGAAATGCTTTCCCTGTTCTTGGTTCTATGGCTATGTTAGAACGTAGAGTCTAGGCTACCAGCCGGGCCGCCCGGGTCACCCTATTTTCCCGGACGGCCCGGCCGTGCAAGGACCAGGGAAAGTCCTAGCAAAAAAAAACAAAAAACACAAAAAAAAACCGAAAAACAACTATGTTATGCAGAAAAATAAACTGAACAACTTTTGCCTCAGGGTCACATCGAAATTCTTTGCCAAATTTAAAACAAAAAATAAAGTTTTTTTTTTTTTCCTGGGCCCGGCCGGGCAAGCGGCCCCGGGCCACTCTGGTAGCCTAGCTTAGAATCCTTTTTCTATCCTTCCAATTTTAACGGATGCCCCTTTGGATAGAATGCATCTTATTTTGTTTTTGTGACGTTTCGGGTTCAATGATTCTGTCAGAATCCAGTACAGCCTTGCCAAGACTAAGGTCGAGGGTTCAAATCCTTTGTTTTGGATTCTATGGTTCTGTCGGAATCCATCTTACTTTGTTTTTGGATTCTACGATTCTGTCAGAATCCATTGTACTTTCCCCTAGTATTTGGTTTCTGTTCGTCCGTCACTGCAAAAAAAAAAAGGGAAAGAAAAAGAAAAGAAAAAAGTATTAAAAAAAAAATTATATATATATATATATATCGTCATATATATCGTCAAATAGAACTGCCCGGTAAACCGTAGGCAGAGAGGGAGAAGAGGACAACAAACGAGGGGCTATATCGTCATATATATATATATCGTCACAATATATATGTATATATTTGACGATATATATATCGTCAAATATATATATATATATACCTTTCTCGGCCTTTTGGCTAAGATCAAGTGTAGTATCTGTTCTGATCAGTTTAATATCTGATCCGTGGGAAAAAAAAAAAAAAAAAAAAAAAAAAAAGTATTAAAATGTATGCGTCTTATGGCTGGTTATGTATACACACATGTCACTGTTGATAGTGAACAGATCATAAGTCCTGATAGGTACAATAATATCAGGGGCTATCTTCCTTCAGAACGAGAAATTACATTACATGTAGTAAAGACTGTGAAGTCACATTGTGATTGTAACGTTGGCATATCCCATATCTGCTGGCTGTCACGGGTTTGAATGGGGGGGTAAGAAGACCAAACAGAATGTTGATGGATGGTATCAAAAATCTCAATGCCTATGGCAGGCAAGGAGCTTTTGCGGTGGACTCTTAGGGCGTACCCACACTAGCACTATCTTAAATGTATCTGACCGCATTTACGGTGGACCTGGATGTATCTGCGCGCAATCTTGTCCAGAAATAATTAAAGAAGTCTTAGTGTGAGTATGCCCTGAGAAGCCGTAGGTATAGGAAAGAGGATAAGGAGGTGAAGGACATGATGACTCGTCGCTGGTCTTCAGGTAAAGCTGAGGGGCACAGCAAAAAACACAGTCGTCAGAATATGACAGTGTCTGATAAAGTTGTTTCTTGGTGTACCGTGCCCGCTGCTGCTGCCGTTCCTGCTGCTGTTGGGTCTTGTCTTGCGAAACATAGCTAGAGGATGTCCACCCACCGAACGGGCTGTCTATAGGGGGTTGGGCAATAATCAAGCAGCTGCAGCAGCTCCAGAAAAGTAGTAGGGTTGATGTGAACGAGGTTCAGAACGGTGGAAAAAGGTCATGGGAGAACTACGATGATCCTGTGGTGAGCGAACTGGTAAGGAATCAGATCCCATGCAAAGTCAACACGATGAAGGAAGGAGGTCCCATCAATCTGCTCAAGCAGTGTGCAGAGGCGGAATCCAACAGAGGAGGGTACTGGTCACGGGTAGCATTGTCTGGGCATGTTGATCATTATGAGAGCAAGAAGAGGGACGACCTGGGCTGGGGATGCGGATGGCGCAACATTCAAATGCTCTGTTCCAACCTGATAAAGACACGGGAGGATGCGAAAAGAACTCTGTTTGGAGGGAGTGGATTTGTGCCATCAATAAAGGATCTGCAGCAGTGGCTAGAGGTGGCGTGGCGGTCGGGTTTCGACGTGGTTGGTGCCGAGCAACTGGGTTGGAAGGTTTATGGGTCGAAGAAATGGATTGGCACGACGGAGTGTGCCGCGCTTTTGCGCTTCTTCGGGCTGCGGGCGAGGATCGTTGACTTCAAATATACAGGGAGCAGTAAGGTGGCGGTGGGAACCTGTGCGGGATTGACGGAGAGGAGTAGCAATGAAAAGGAGGAGGCCTGTACATCAGAGGTTCGCCCAGGACGGACAACAGGAGGGCGGGAGAGGCAAGGTTCGACCTGGGTTGACGGCGGGACCCGCTCAGGCACACCAACTCTGAGTGGGAAGCTGAAAAAGTGGGGAAGCTGGAAGGAGTTGTTCCTTGCTCCTGCCTCGTCGGCCCGAGGGATGCCACGTCAAGTCTGGCAGAGTTTTGATGACATAAGTCTTGCGCAAGCGTTGTCGGCAAGCCTGTCTTCCAATCCACCGAAAACGCAGGCTGTGCACACATCAGTGTACTGTGATGGGTGTGGTATGAATCCATTGACAGGACCTCGGTTCAAAAGCATACTACAGAAGAATTTTGATCTGTGCCTTGGTTGCTGGGAAGTGCTGGACACGATTGGGGAAGATCACATGTTTGGGAGGAGGAGCGATTATCTAAGGATAGAGAGACCAAGTGGCAAACGGGAGGCTTGGCCAGGGAAAAAGGGGAAGAAATGTGGAAACTGTTGTGAAGGACGGGCTCTGCCAGGAACCAACCCCGGGTCAGCAAGTAAGCTGATGCCAGAAGGAACCAACCCGAGGACTACTACCGGAGGTCTAATTGCTGGGGATGACCCCATCCACATGACCCTTGTGGAATGGGTGTGGCAATACTTTACGGAGGGACGGAAAGGGTGTGGGAGGGGCCTGGCGAGCGACAGCCATGGCAAATCAGCCAGCACGTATGACCGGTTCATGGGAAGCCCTGTAATGATGACCAATAAGCCGTGAGTCTTGTCCACCTCCTTTGCCCCGTGCACGCGTGGATCTTATCTTCCTCCCTCCTCCCCAAGTCACCCCAACCCTTATCTGCACCATTATCCTCAGCCTTCTGCCTCACACTCTTAATGTCGTTACCACTTCCACATCTTTCTTCACAACACTTTTCTCTCTCTCTCTCTCTCTCTCTCTCTCTCTCTCTCTCTCTCTCTCTCTCTCTCTCTCTCTCTCCCCCCCCCCCCCTCCTCCAGCCCCCCCCCCTCCTCTCTCTCTCTCACCTCCTTTGCTTGTGCATGGACAGCATGGGTTTGTATTATCTATTGTGGAGTGAACTGAGGTGATCTGCTTCAGTTTGTGAGCTGGAATTGAGCTGATTGCGGATTGTTAATTACAGTCAATCCTTCCAAAACTCGTGGTGGGATAAACAAGGCTTTGCAAGCTGGTCTCAAGACTCTCAATAGAAAAGAACATGGTTTTTGTCAACTTTTTCGGAGTGTTTTTTTTTTTTTTTTTTTTTTTTTTTTTTTTTTTTTTTCCGCAGAGTTGAAGAAAAGGACGACTCAGAAAGAGCGAGTAGTTTGACCTGTGTGGCTGTGAGCATCAGCAGAGAGTCGACTCCACTTCTTTCTTTCTCCCTTGGAAAGGGGGATGACCTTGAGATATCATCTTTGAAGTTTGAACTGACCAGCCCCAGGTAAGTCAGAGGCGTCGAGTTCCACGGGGATTGATGAAGTCAGGTCTGTATTTCAACGGTGGAAGGGTGAACCAATTGATCGAAGCCCGTTGGTATGCTGATGATGTTCTTTGCTTTTTGTGCTTTTTCAACCTTCTTGTGCAGTTGTGAATTTCTCTGCCTTACATCCTGTGAAATGACTTTCCATGTCAATGTCAATGCCAATGCCAGGCCTTTGTACTTCCAGCATCAGGGGCATTCCAGGACCATTGTTGGGATAGAGAGGAGAAGGCACATCACAAAGGCAACAGAGGAGGTTTTCCTTTACGTCCTGGATCCGTCACAGGTGGGCAAATCCGGAAACCCCTTCCCCCAATGCATTTTACCTTGCTTGGCTTGATGGTTCTCCTTTTTCTTTATACCGCGACTGCCTTTGGACCTGAGCTGCGGAGCCTAACGAGGCCGAGTATCATTTTTTCAGTGTCTGGAAGTCCAAGAGGGAAAAAAAAAATCCGGGCCTATTGCAGTCAATATGAAAGAAAAGAGGAGGCCCTTGGAGGTCGTCACAGTTTAACGTGAAGTCAACAGTGTGTATATTCTCTTTTGTCCTTTATGTAAGCTTTGCCTCATCTCTAGTTCCCTCAACTGTGCTGTCTTGTTGCCAAGTGCATTCTTCTTCTTCTTCTTCTTCTTCTTCTTCTTCTTCCTCTTCTTCTTCCTCTTCTTCTTCTTCTTCTTCTTCTTCTTCTTCTTCTTCTTCTTCTTCTTCTCTTCTTCTTCTTCTTCTTCTTCTTCTGCTGCTGCTTCTGCTGCTTCTGTTTCTGCTTCTCCTGCTTCTGCTGCTTCTCCTGCTTCTCCTGCTTCTCCTGCTTCTCCTGTTTCTCCTGCTTCTCCTGTTGCACTTTCTTGTTGCCCAGTGCATTCTTCTCTTCTTCTTCTTCGTCCTCTGCAGCTGCTGCTGCTGCTTCTGCTTCTGCTTCAGCTTTGCCAAAATGCATTCTATTTTCCCCTAATGTGCTACTATGTGCTGTAAGTTTCGATGATGTGTTTCAAATCTTTCCATGCTGCCCTATTTAGCGCAGAGAATAGATGGAGTTTGTGGAACGAGTCACCAGCGGGAGATTGTTGAATGGCATGCACCGTATCAGCGTATGACATCTTTGTGCAGGTCTACCAAGAAGAACCTCTGCTGCTACAGGTCTATCATGTGTGTCCTTTAAACAAAATTCCCGAAATACTTTTTGTTTGACAAATTGGCACTGAATAGCTGTTGACCTGGAACCTTTGTTTGCAACTTCCTTGTAAATGCTCGTTTTGGCATTCCCGAGACATCCTTTGCTTCGAGCTCGCCGTGTTAAACATCAGATTTGGAGTCTGTACCTAGTACTTACCCTCCATACTATCAGCCTTGTGAAACCAAGAGCACTATTCATGCAGAAGCTTATATCTATGACACCTCTTCCTTCGCTATACCCTCTTCTGCCTGAGCCGGGTTTGAACCCCCGGACCATAGTGCGAACCCTACTGACCCAGCCTCCTGCTTCAGTCGCAGTGGGAAGAAATAGTGTGGCAGGCAAGGTCTAGAAGCGGAGAGAAAGGTAAACCAAAACGCCTCTAATTCTACGCAGTAGGCTAGCGCTAGCTAGTCTTTTTTCGTTCTTATCTGAATTTTCTCTTTTTGTTAGTGCTACTGCTAACTTGAAAGACAGGGTGTCATGATTAAGTGATCCGCTAAGCTCTTCGCCCCCCCCCCCCCCCCCCCCCCCCCCCCCCCCCCCCCCCCCCCCCCCCCCCCCCCCCCCCCCCCCACCTACACCCCCAACCCTAATAACATCAATGCTCACATAAATTAACATAATTGTAAATGCACACAATGCAGACATTTCTAGGTCTAAGCTCTTCAACTCTTTGTTGAAAACGATTGGCCATGTTTTGAATTCCCCTTCCGTAACACGACCACAGGAAACCATAACTTGGTGCTCCGAAAAAAACTGTAGGCTAACTTTTTCTTCCAGCCACAGCTCTCAGGCATGCGTGTACTTCAGATGTCTAATCAAAATCATGTTAACTCAGCTCCACTGCTCAAACCCTGATGACCTCATTTCACGGTACGTATCCGACTGGTTCTGGATTCAAGACCCAGCTAGAGGCAAAGTCACCACCACCCTGTTCTCCCAGCCACACACTCTATGTGTTTGAATGAAGTCGGACTCAGGGTTGCTCTGGCCACATCATCTAAACGTTCATTCCTAACCGACTGTGATTCCCCTTCCTTGGTGTAGTACTCTGCTTTTTGAACCTCTTCGTTTTTCCTCTTTTCTTTCCTTTTCTTCTTTCAACAGAAATTGGCTTTTGTTACTTTTTGTAATAACAATGCAGGAAACCAGCATCTCTTACATCAGATGTATTCACTCAACGCTCCTCCCCGTTATGGTCGGGAGATCCTGAGACAGAGGCATTGATTACTTTTTTGACCCTCTTCCCACCCGCCTTGGTCGTCCAAGTTGAGGATTCCCTATCCTTTCCTTGACTCTTCTCTGAAAGTCCTTGACTGGTTCTTTTCTCTTCCGTGTTGTGTGTCCTTTCTTTCGTTCTTTAGGATTAATGCTGCCTACTGCAGTGGCTTCAGTCTATTGTGGAGAGCTCGTCAACCCCGGGTAGGGATTGCAAAATACTATTCGATACATCAGCTTTGAAGTTTGAAGTCATATGTCTGCTAACTCCACTTAGCCATCAGCAGTGCTCTTCTTCGGGTAAGCTCCCTCTTTCCACTCTCATTTTCTGTGTCTTTTCGCTTTCTCGCAGGGATAGCTGGCCGGGCGCCCAGGCGGCCTCTGGCTGCCGGATGGTCCAGCCGGGCAAGCCCCCAGCCAGGTCCCGGGCAGGCCCAGTGCCAAAAAAAAAAAAAAAGAAAGGCAACTAAAAAAAGCTGAAAAACAGGATGTTGTGCAGAATTGCAATGCAAGCAACTTTCTTTTCTTTTTTTTTTAACTACCGTATGTTCTGCTCTCAAATTCTCTCACATTCTGCCGCTACTCCTACAAGCATAGGTAACAGCGGTAGTCAGGAAGTAGGGTGGGGCCACCAGTGCGGCACCGCTGACACAAAGACTGAGCATTTTGCCCGTAGCTGCACGTCCCTCTCATCTCCCTGCACCCCCATCGAGTAACAGCAGTGTGTAAACAACTTTTGGCTAAGGGTCACCTCAGTTACATCGAAGATAAAAAGTTAAAAAGTAATAAAAACAAATGAAATATCAAACGAAAGGCACACCCTTTGAAGTTTAAACCCCGTTTATACAACCCCACCCCCCCACTCCCCCCCCCCAGCCCCCAACCACCCCACCCCAATCACAGCACTGAAAACATAAAGAGGTGCGCCCCCTTTTTTTGAAAATTAAACCACTACTGCCTGTCAGCATCTAAGGATTTCCAATTCACCTGTGCACAAGGGGACCGCACTTCGGATGAACTGGCCCACCCTAGTTGCAGCCTCCGCGGGGGTGTCCAGAAGGGTGCCAGGCAGTGGTGGTTTAGTCAGACCTGGTATTATTGGATTCCACAGGACTCGGTCCGTGTGTACGAGAAAGGGCCAACATCCAATTGTTTTCACTACAATGGACCATCAATGATCAATGTCTTTCCTTTTTTTTTTTTTTTTTAATTCCACAGTTTTCTGCAGAAGAAGATTCATCAGCATGCTAACATGTTGCCATTTGGTCCCCAGCATTGTGGCAATGTTTGGGTGCGCTATGGCTGGTTGGGCATGGCACTTTGCTTGGACCTTGTGGCACTGATTGTTTGCCCCGATTAGCACATGGTGGTACCGTTTTGTGGGCCTGGCAGACTGGGACTATGCTGTGGGCTTTAGGACTGCAGACTTTCATTGACCTTTAAAAATTGTTTGAGCTGAACTGATAAGATCTTGGTGTTGCTGTTGAAACGGAATTCACCAGTTTGCAGTAGCCGATGCAGATCCCAGGGCTCGATCCCTAGTTCTTACCTTACCTGTGTACAGTATTCGTGTCGACCCCGAGAGTTGAACCCGCGACCCGTGTATTGGTAGCAGTGGCCATAGCCGCCATAGCTGTAGATAGAGTTCAGTGTGTGTGTGTGTGTGTGTACAGAGTATCGAGTGTGGGATATCCAGGGTGATCCTGTGTTTGCGAACAGTGAGTTGTGTGGGCGCTGAGTCGCCATAGCCATTGAAGTGAACTTGTACCTGAACTGTGTTCTCGTGAGTTTTGAGTGGGCGCAGGTCGCCAGTTTGCTGCGCACCTGTTTGCATGCATGAGAAGTGTGAATGAGAGCGAGTCTGATTGCATTGGTATCAGAGCTGGTACCCGCTATTCCACACGCGCTGTCGTGTACCGCAGGGAGAGATATGCGCCATAGCAGCCATCGGCGGAGAAGTCGGCCATAGTGGACCCGGAGGTTGACGAAGCCGTCGTGCGCACCTGCAAGAAGAGCATGACGAAGAGAGAGAGAGAGAGAGAGAGAGAGAGAGAGAGAGAGAGAGAGA